ATCCTGGAAAGAAGAAAAAGAAACAGATAAAGCTGGACATGCATGAGTATTTGAACACGAGCAAAACAGTTTAGAGAACTGAGATTTATCAGCAGGGCTGCCAGGCTTGCTCCCTGTGACAGGGTGAGGAATTCCTAGATTCAGTGAGGCCTCGAAATTGGGGCTCTGATCTTTTGGAGTGAGGGGGGTCAGATGAGGTGGTTCATGCATCTAATGAGGATGGCAGTGAGGCAGCTACTAAGGGAGCTGGTGCTGATTCGTCCCTCTGGGTGGAGGCCCTGGAGCAGACCCAGCACATGCTGAAGGTGTTATATCTCTCAGCTGGCTTTGAAATGTCTGGGGATCCCCCAGAACTAACTGGAGTGTGTAGCGTTAGAAACAGAAGTCTGGTCTGATTGGTAGGTATGCTCTGCCCACGATCCTCTTCAGGAGAAGCAACATGAAGATTATGATGATGATATCAAAATAGAATTGAAATCTGAAAACCATCCATCCAAGTTCTAACCATTTTTCCTGCTCAGGGTCATAGGATGAGGGGCCTGGAGCCTATCACAGACTATATAAGGGACAATGCCAGTCCTTTGCAGGCCATTTACATGCACAGTCACACAAGCTATAGCCATTTACAGTTTTGCGTCTTTGGACTAGCAAAGGAAACACATCAAATGTGGGGAGAATGTGAAAGCTCCATGCACACATGGCGGAGGTGAAAATGTTATATTCTTAAATTCTTACAATTTTACATTAGTTGACTAGAGAATTAAGAAGTGAAAACAAAATGTTTTTATAAACCTAACACAAGAGACATGTATTACTGCTTATTTGAAATAGTCAATGAGTCAGCATGAATCCAGCAGAATCAAAATACAAGAAGATTATGTCTTAAAAAATTAAATTTTATTTTCAGCAGCCATAATGTAAGCTACAGCACGTTTAAACATAATCCTATCTGAGTTCCTGTAAGCAGCTATGGTTCTCATTCCTAGCTTTTTTACTTTGCTGATAGGCATTGTCAGAAAGGCGGTCAAATTGTAAAGCATGTCTCCTTACCACTAATGTCAATGTTCTGGTGAATCACCACGGCTCTCTCAGTGGTCCTCTTGCCTGTTGATTCAGTTGTTTCCTTTTTATAAGAAGCAGTTTTCCCCTCTGTGGAGTTTCAATGATGTAAGGCCAGAGTGTTTGTCCAATGATCTTTTTGTGTTGTTTACCAAATTTTGATTTTTTTTTATCTGTTCATTGCATCATTAATCATGTTGTCCATATTCTGTGCATTCTTTCATGGTGTTTTGCAAATAAATTGCAAATAAGGAACTGAAAGACTTAATGTTTTGTTTTGCATTGTTTATATTCTGTATATTTCTTTTTGTTGCTGAGGAATTTCCAACTGTTGCTTGTATTTTTAGCATTTTAGCTTTTTAAAAGGGTTAGTCTGGCGGTTAGTACTGTGGCCTTACACCGCTGAGACCAGGGCTCAAGTCTCCACCATAATGTCATTTTAGCGGGTAAGGGATGACATAAATGCAGGCTGTGGTCGAGCAAGACCCATGCAGAGAGTGTTTATTGAAAGCCCAGACAGTATCACAAATACTGACAGGTAATAATGGCTGAACAGGGAGCACAAGACTGGGAGATGCTAATATACCTGACTAACTAACAAGGGAGCAAACACAAGGCAGCTGTGAGTGGTTAACAGGAGGGCAGGAATGAGAGGTAAGAGAAGGCATGCAGCGCTCATGTAAAAGCTGTGGAGGTAAAATTTAAACAGCTTTTTAAAAACATATATTAAACAATCTTCAAAAAGAGTGATTATTAAAACTGCAAAGCTTGCTAAGTTTTATTTTCCCTGTGACCAACTGAAAATGTTTTAATGAAACTTAAACCCCCTGTGATATAATGTCCATCCAGTATCAATGCATAAGAATGCCTGATCTCAACCTAGCACCTATCTGTCATGACCTACTGGTACGATCCTTGTATGTGCCACGCCCCCTCATAACCTACGCGTGTTTCCCCGATCGTGATCACCTGTTTCCTGTTATTTTCTGCTTGTCTTGTGTATTTAGTCCACATTCAAGTCTGTTTCCCCAGGTCTGTCATTAACGTGAGTTTGCCGTGTGCTCCCCTTTGTCCTGTCCGCCCTCAATAAACCCCGTTTGATAGTGTCCACGGCTCTCTCGCCTGATTCCCCGTTCGCCGACACCTGGTCATTACAGAATGACAGACTCCACAGCGACTCACCGCAGAGGTGATCTACTGGCTTCACCAGCCGGAGGTTCGGGAAGACCTCGGAATACCGTCAGCCAAGTGACCTGGAGGTGGATGGATGGAGCATGTGTTGACCTAATACTGTTTTTCAACAACTGTTATGCTACTGCATATGTGATGCTGACTTTGGGTGGAAACCTGTGTACCTGGACAAAATCCTATTTTGATGCAAAAACCATGCATAGAGCTGGAGCCATTTTTGAACCTAATACTTTATTCTGAGCATCTGTAGTGCTTGTACCTAGGGCGACTGTGTGTCAGAACGATTCCAAGGGCCCCTGAGTGACTGCAGCCCTAAAAAATTTGAAATATAATTGGATTGGTCTGGGATGGGGGCTAATTTAATGGCACCCCTGGGCATTATGGCGGGCGGAGTAGTGGCTCTGAGCCTAGGGATCTGAGCCAACAAGTGGAAGGTTGCTGGTTCAAATCCTGTGAGTGACAGCACCGCCCACTGCTCCAGTTCCGGAACCCGAATACAGCAGTTCTGTACAACGTTGAGTCAAAGAAAAGGCCAGTCAGGGGTCATCTGAAACCATTTCATTACCAAGACAATAGCCGGCAGGTTTCATAGGTCCAGCTGCAATTTCAACCACCCCGATTCTTTGGTTAACATACAGAGCTAAGAGGTTTGATCCATCAAGATTTGAAGGTTGGGGACACATATGAACGTAGTCCACAGTGATTACTGTGGCTAAGTTAACATGGATTGCTGTGAAAACAGACGTGCAGATATAAATAGGTTTGCTGCATTGCCTTAGTCTGAACTGCTCCAGCATAATATTATTCTTATAAATAAATGGGGGGAAAAATACGCTGCTTCAAATAAAAAACTTAGCTACATTATTTTTTTTTCTTGCGCTGCCCTCACAGGCAGTGGTGCAGCGACAGGACAGGCAATAGCCTGGGGCCCTGGACTGGGAGGGGGGCTCCCGAGGGCGGCCGATTACATAGTACATTGCAACGACAAATCTGCCTAATTTGTGTATTCTGTTTTATTCTTTATTCTGTTTTATCTGTTTTATTCTGTTTTATTCTTTATTCTTGTTTTTATAAAATTCTCTGTTGTTGTCACGCTAAAATAATGGTAATAAATTTCACCATGCTGGGGGAGGGGGCGTTGGAGGGCCCCGTTCAGTTTTCTGTCTAGGGCCCCCAGAGTCCCTAGAATCACCTCTGCTCACAGGATGTAGGCCTACCGGCGCTCATCAGGTAGTATCATTTGAAACAAAAGCACAAAATGTTTAAAATTAAATGTATGAAATGTATAAAACTTAATCCAGTTTGCTGCTTTATTCATTGCTGCTTTTATTGGGAGAAATTTAAAGTGTATATTTGGTACAAAATGTTTTCTTTGCTTATTACACTCACTGGCAAGTGTGCGTCTACCTATTACATATATTTAAAAAAAACATGAATAGATGACATTCTTGACTTGATTTTGTTTATGCAATAAACAATGCATAAACATTAAATGGTGATTAATACAAAAATTCAGAGAAGTGATGAGCATCCAGTAGAAAAAATATCAAGCTTGTGTTACTTTAATACTAATTTTTTTTTTTCATTTTGCTTTTTAATTCTTTTGTTTGCATAGTTCAAACTGCCTGGGATTAAATAAAACAATATACCTGCAAGATTCCGGTAGCTTGTGCCAATTTGAATGCGATGTAAAATTATGCTGAGAAAGCCAGTCCACAACATGATCATATAGACCAGTAAGTGGCTGGTGCAAGTTTGCAGTGCCTTGCTGTTGAGCTCCTTGTTTTTCCTGGTGACACAAATTGTAACGATTCTGTCTATGTAAGTAAGGGCTATTGTCAGGGTCAGCCTCCCGCTGTGGTCCTTCCGTGCCCCTTCCCCGTTTGACCAGTGCTGGTCATCCCGTCCATACGTCAGTCCTTGTTTCTCCCCCATCTCTTGTCTGGTCTCATGGCTCAATGTATTAAGCATGTGCTGTCTGTTTGCCCCTCGGTCCTGAGTTCCCTCTTGTTGTGAGTTCGAATCCCGCCTCCTCTGTTTTTGTATTTTGCTCCCTAGTGTTTCATTTGAGTTTCTTTAGTTCTTGTGTCTGATTTAGTAATCTGTTTTGGTTTTGTTTCTTGTTCCCCTGCTTATGTTATTACCTATGTACCTTCCATGTGTTATATGCTTCCTTGGTTAGTGTTTAGTTTCCCTGAGTGTTAGTGTCTGAGTTAATTGGTTTCACCTGTGTCCTGTTTCCCTAGTCTTTGTTAATCAGCCTCACCTGCCCTGTGTTAGTCATTACCCCCGTAGTATATTAGTTCCTGCCTTTGTTCTGTTCCCCGCTGGTTCATTGCGTCGCGTCTTGTGTCTTGTGTCTGAACTATTGTCTCTGAGGTCTACACTCGTCTAAGGTTTGTCTAAGTCATCTATGCCCTTGTCTAGTCTTGTCTCTGGTTTTACCTTAGTCTCGTGCTAGTTAGTTTTCCTTGTGTTATTTAGTCTAGTTAATTCCTCCCTGTTTTGGTTTTGACCCCTCGTGGTCTTTTTGGTTTTCTTGTGTTTGTTGTCTTTGTTTAATAAACCCCTCTATTGTTCCTGGAGCCGCAAGTGGGTCGTCCGCCCCTTAGTTGTGCACCATGCCCCGTTCCCGTGCCGTCCAGAACCATGACAGGCTATGCTGCCCATTGAAGATGTCAGAAGAACCACTGTGAAAGCCAGGCCATAAATGTTGTTGATGGTGACATCCTGGCAGGAGAGCTTAAACAGAGATGCATTATCACAGTACATGTTTACAATAAGTGACCTGCAAAGTTTAAGATGTATGGTGAGTCCCAGCAAGACTGACAGTCAGTAGGGCAGATCCCCAAGCCCATGCTGAAAGCTTCAACACCATGCTGGTGGTCATTATTGAAGAGTAGATGTGGTGTTTTTCATTTTGGCAATTCCCTTATGTTGACTGTATAGCTATTTGTTGACAGTGGTGGAGGAAGTACTGAAGCTTAGTACTTAAGTAAAAGTATAAATATCCTGCAAAATATGTACTCAAGTAAAAGTAGAAGTGCTACATCAACAATCTTACTTAAGTGAAAGTACTAAGTACCTTTAAATTTACTTTAAAGTATTTTTTTTAAGTAAAAGTACTCACACAATGGTTTTGTCTCAACATCTGAGGTGTGCCATTTTGTAAAAGAATAGTAGATGTACTGACTTACGCCTCTACTGATGTCATTGCTTGTAATAATTACTAGCAACTATACAGTATGTGTATTGGAAAGTTTGGTGTGCTTATTGTGCGTGCACTCTGCAATACTGTGTGTACCCTAACTTAGAATTATGTGGATGACAAGTTATCTACTAGGTATTACCCAGTAATATACCATTAAGATAAACCAATCAGGACACGATATCTTTAAATCATTTATGTACTTGCAAAACTATTCAACACATCTGTTAAGAGCAGTAAAAGGGAAACACAACAGTAACCAAACACTAGTGGTGGGGTGGCACTCTCAAGAATATGGCAGTATGAATACGGCACTCTGCCATCATTGGAGCTAATAAAGCCACCTGATTGGTAGGAAATGGCAACCAACGCCAGAACGCAATAGGCTAACTATTTTTTCATGCAAGATTTTGAGGAAATTGTGTTCATAAAATGTAACGACTAACGCCATAAATTGTAGAAATGTAGAAAGTACAGATAATTGCCGCAAAATGTAATGGAGTAAAATAGAAAGTATGCATTATTTTACTTAAGTACAGATATGTAAAAATGTACTTAAGTACAGTAACGAAGTACAAATACTTAGTTACATTCCACCACTGTTTGTTGCATAATTAACCATGTTGATCATGTTCCCAAGTGGAATCCGATACAAAAGTTTATGGTGTGTATTGCTTATACTCTGTATGTATACTGCTGTTATTAAGGTCCCAGCTGTTGCTTGTCTCTTTAAAGCTCTCTAAATGGGTTATATATGGTTCATACAGCCTTATACGTACACTTACCTTGGTAAACTTATAGTGAAACCATAGAAGCAGTGAGGCAGGGACAGCATCTATGCAATGGTTTGGTCTGCATGCAGTTCAGCATAAAATGAAAGACACTATATGAACATTTTTATGCAGTTCTCCTTCTGTAATGCACTGTACCTACTGTATATCAGGGAACCAATGAGTAGCCCACATCAGACTATTCAGCAATAGGATCACTAGTGTTTTTTTTTGTTTCTTGTGTATATACAAGTATTTGTTTTGGGCCATGAGTGCTGTGCTGCACTGCAGAGTGCATGTGAAAGGGTAAAAGGAGAATTAATTTTACTGTTACCCCCCTCCAGTCACCAACACCCCATTATTGAAGAGTCTCTCAAGGATTTTCAAATGGCCACATATCTGTCAAAAGCCATGATCATCAGTATTGTGTGTGCAGCAGTAGAAGACGTGTGATTACAGAATGCTTGAGTGACACACTCAACATAACTAATGCTTCTGTCATTTGAAAGGAGATCAGACATGATTCGAGGCAAAATGTTAGTGTTCCCCAGAATATCATTGACAGACAAGTTGCAGAATAAAAGGTACATGGGCTGCTGTAAACTCCTTTCCATGATTATGACAATGATTCCCACATCGCTAATATTGATTATCAGGTGCGTAACCAATAAGCAGAAGGGTAAACACTGGGCAAACATATACAGGTGAGACATCAATAGCCTTATTTACAGCATGTAATTGATGTTAGACCTGTGGTCAATTTCTGTTCTCCAAGCTTAGAGGACTGGAAAATGAAAAAGAAACAGACTAGGTCAGACTTTTATTCCAATTTGAACAGAAGCAATACAGCAGTACATAGCCATAGTATGTTACTGACTAAACACTCTCAAAATGTAGTCATTATATGTAAAGTTAAACAAAAAAATTGTGCATTTTAGAATTAAACAATTTTAGAATTAAACAAATTCCATTCTTGATAAAATTCTTGTCTGTGTTTGTTTTAGTGATCTCCTAAAATGACATTGCATTTTGTCCTTTATATAGCTGTATTTCTTTGCTGGGGGTTCCTCAGTAACATAATTTGGGTGTTTTCCTACAGACACAATAGAAGGTCCAAATGAAAACGGCTGCCCAAGTATGACTGATGAATTGTGCATAGCATGGCTAAATTGGTCAGGTTAATTAGCCAGACAGACATACTTGGGCTGTGTGGTCATTCTTTTGCGAAATTTTGTCAAATACGTACTCTTTAAATACATTACAAAATAAGTGTATTAGCATTACCTTTTATTACCCTTTACGATTACTGTGTTTAATGACCCCCCCTGACATGTCATGAATGATGCAATGTGCTTTTCAGATCAGCAATAGAAGGTCCAATGGGGTTTATTAGAAGGAGACCACATTGGGGGATGTTTCGCTGTTGTTTCATAATGCGGGCATTTTTTTTTTATTCCTGCCCCCAATGCACCAATAGATGGAAAGTAATTAATGCCTCAGTCATTTCAAAACATGTCATACGTATCTGGGGACAAGGAGGCCAATTATTCACTCTCTGAAGATTAATTGGATGAGGTTGTTACATCAGAAACAACATTAGTATGTTTCGTCTTTGTTGCATGTATTGTAATTGTCACATACTTCACTTATATTTACATCAGTTATGTATTTGTAATGAATACGTGGTCTTTGTGAGTTTCAGACAAGTTTAGACATGCAATAAATAATATGTAGCAATAATTTATAGGTCACATCACATATTAACTCACAGTAAGATGTCTACTACTGATCACTGAATTCTTACAATACTGATATTATGTGGTGTGTACAGGGGGTATGATGACTGAATATGTGCTGTAGTACTGTTTCCTCAACCCTGTAGCATTGTGCTTCATATTTATTTATTGGGGTTTCTCCTGCAGTGCAGGTTGGTGACCTGAGGTCTCTAAGTTGCCTATAGCGTGTTTCTGTGTGTATTCCCACTAACCAACTGGCATTCTGTCCCTGCCACCTGGTAGAGGTTCTGGGGACCCTGTGTCCGCTGTGCTGTGTAAACAGTTGGAGAGTGTAGAGTAGAGCAGATATCTATGATTCCTTGTTGCTCCTGAATTGAAGAGCGAGATTTTGCAGCTCGAGAAGCCATGGAACTTTCACAGAGTAGAGACAACAGCTTTTTTCAAGTGAACCACTAATCTGGGATGTGGATCGTGATCTTGTTCGAGATTATGTAATGTGAAATTTTAGCCAAATGTGAAACCTGAAGCTAGAAGCTCCATATACAGCAATGCTCGATGCTCTGTTGTTGTGATACAGATCTGTAACCATTAAGGCAATATTAATATGAAATGAAGGGCACCCGAACAATCAGCGGAAATGGGATGCCCGGCTTTCACTTTATGTGTGTTGGCGATTCTGAGGGACCTTGAAGAAGAGTCAGCCGAGGAGGTTTAGGCACCTTATTTGGTGCTTTACACCTTATTCGGATGCCATCTGGTTGGCTGTCACAGGGTGGAGCTCCCAGGGCGAATCCAGGACATCCTGGAAGAAACCAGTGCACCTGGACAAAATCCTACTTTAGGAGAAAACTGTAGAGTCTGATTATTTTTGAACCTTCAAACTGAACCACTGCAGTGCTTGTACTTGCATCATCATCATCATCATCATTATTATTATTATTATTATTATTATTATTATTATTTCTGTTACAAAAGACCTCTGAGAGTCACATTAATTTAGAGTGTAGCCTCGTGGCCAGGTAAACTGCCTGTTGAAAAAGATCACAAAATTTCATGAAGATCAGTCATTGGTACCTTGTTGGGTCCAGGCAGCCAGGCCAGACAACCCCCTAGTGGTGGATATAAGTGGTTCCGGAGTGTGGTGGGGTGGGTTGATGTAGGTCAGTGAGTAACAAACCATGTCCCCCCTAGACATAAAGGCCCCCATGGTCCTGCATCATGCCATCAATGACCAAACCATAATTTAATTAAAGGTTCACAGAGGCTCCTGGTCCTTCAAAACTCTGGGGTTGATTATGGCCACAGATTAGCAGACCCTCTCGAGAACCTGCAAGGCCCCACCTCCTCTGGTCCCATCCCAGATCTCCATGGGCCAAGCTGCTGATGGTCTGGGGCACATCTACACTTGCTAACCTCTAGGGTAGATGACAACCTGGTCATTAAGCTCTAGTGATGGTCTACCAAAATTTTAGGCCACACTGAGTGCAAAACACATATTTAGATGTTTGTATTCTGAAGAAGATAATAGCGGTCAGTAGAACGAGTCATGGTGGAACATTGCACTCATACCGTTTAATCTTCATCACATCTGTAAACAGACACGTGAAACAAGTGTTTCCTGAACAGACAATCTCAAAGGTCAGACTAACGACAAAATGGGGGCCAGCAACAATTCACCTCTGTTTACGTTTGGGTAGTTTCCGGAATGAACTTGGAAAGGAAAATAAAAGCATGTCTCACAGTGCAATGTTACAGTGTTTTCACTAAATGAGCCCTGAGGACACTGGTACCAGTTTGGAGGATGTGAAGTATCTGGGGGCATCATTATCTGTAAGCTTCATTAGTGAGCAAAGAGGCTGCTAATAAACATTAATTGTCAGGTGAGTCCACTGACCTCCACAGATTAATTAGTATCTGACACTGTTGATCAGTCCTAGTGAATATAACAAGCATCTGTGGAGCTCATTAATAACAAGATCCAGCAGGGCATTTCCCAGGCTGATAGGTACAGGTGCTGCCCTAATGATGTGTAGACAAAACCCTGTCGCATGATTATTGCTAATACACTTTGCTAACCTATGCTACCTATGATCTCCGTGGCTGGCCTTGTAAAATATGTCTTTTAGGTTAAAGATCTTGCATTTAGGTCTGTGGCTTGACGGGTTAGGCCTCTGTGATTGTGAACGGAAGGTCGTCCATTTGAGACTTGGCAAAAGAGTTACATTCCTGTTGGGCCCTTGAGCAAGGCCCCTAACTGCCCAAAACGATCCAGGGGTGGTGATTAAATAGCCTGACCCTGTGCACTGACCTCAAGCTTTTCTCTTAACTATGTGTGTGTATGTATGTCTCATAGGAGAGCACGATGGGATTTGTGAAACAAGGCATTCCAATGTACTTGTGCAAAGGGCAAATAAAGCATTATTTCATTAAGTATGTATAAACAAACCAGGAAATAGCTCCTTGTACATGCAATGTACTTTGCTAATAAAGTTGATTTACTGTATTGTAATAGTTCTGTTACCCTAGAACTTAAGTTGTGGATTAGAGTCAGTGTTTGAGGACCTTTACATTTGTCCTTAATTAATGTATTTTCATCTGAATGCCCTTTTATCATTGGGCTTTCCATCCAGACTACGGCATCTGCATCACTGACACAGGTTCCAAACAAGATCTCCCTAAATCCATCTATAATCAATTTTTTAGATAAGCTGGAACAATAATAATTATTATACAGTATTAATAAAACTAACTGCATATTGTACCTTGAGCTGATGAACCCCTGAAACCATACAATGTGTTCATGACTCACACCAAGTTGTGCCTGTGTTTGTTATTACAAATCATTGCATTTAACTTGAATTTTTAATGTAATAGGCTTTATGGCAGTCTACGAGTAGTCTGCGAGTCATCTACAAGTCGTCTGTAAGTCGGATGTTCTTAATCGGGGGACTGTCTGTGACCGTACTCCTCATTGTATAAGTAATGAAGTGAACCAGCTCAAACTTGTATTTAAAAAATGAATTTTCACATAGTTTTAATCACATTTCCTTACTCAAATGTAAGCCTTTATAGGATAGTTCTGTAACATTTTCTATAAATGCCATGTGGCTAAGTCTGCAGCAACACCACCTCCAGTTCAGACTAAGTACTCCACCTGAAGCTAAACTTGTTTGGGCCTGGCCAGCACTTGGATGAAAGACCAACTGGGAAAGCTGGGTTCCTCCTGTAAGAGGTGTTGGTGTGGCCAACAACTTAGCCTGTCCTGTGCTCTGTGTGGACCTGAATGTAGTAATGGGGACACTGTGCTATAAGAAAAGTTCTGACTTGCTGAAGTCCTATAAGATTCCTGGGCATCTTTCAAAAGAGTAGGCCTTGTACCCTAATGGCTTACTGTGGGCCTTTCAAGTCTGGTCTCCTAATTGTCCCTTGTATCTAACTGGTAGATCCTCTACTGCCCCTTTAGTTACTGTGCGATGAGTGTACTGGTGCAGAATGGCTGTACAATCCTTCGCAACCTTGACCCACAGCTCTAATAACTGTGCTGTATGACCTCAGGGTCAGCCAGTCCCTGGAGCAATTGGGGTTAAGGGCCTTATTCAAGGATCCAATGGTGAAATCACTCTGCCAATTGGGGGATTTGAACCTGCAACCTACAAAGGGGTGGGGGCCAACAGTGGATGTGCACCCCCCCTTCGAAATAGGCCACCCTTGAGTGTACCCCTGGCTGAAGCTGCAGTGATCACCATCCCTCTTCATGGAGCTACTGGTGTGTATCCGTGACCTTCACGCCCTGGAAAGGCGACAGCAGCCCCTCGTTGTTGGCCAGAGGAGATAACTGCAGGTCACTGAAGAAGAAGCAGACACCAGCCTTCTGGACAATAATGGTGGGAGATGGAAGAGCTTAGGAAGCCCTTGTTCTGGAGAAGATTCAGGAAATGTTGAGAAGCAAAATCACCAGCAACAGAGCTGAGTCCTACCCAAGTGCAAATATAATGTCACACTTGTATTTTTCATTTTTTTCACCTTAGCAGTTTTCATCCTTTCCCCTGTGAAGGTGGCAAGAAGGCGAGACTGTATGTAACTAGGGCCGGGAACACGTCAGTTCTCTATTGGCTCAGGTGCCCTCTTAGGATCAATGAGATGAAATATAAGACACTGCATCATCATCTAAAACGAAGTCACTGATTAGACCTTGTGAACTTCTGGCTGCATTTGACTGAGCAAATGAGAACTAAAGTTTCTGTCTTATTAAAATTAGGTAATATATTAATCACCAAATGTTGTTTATGAAAGCATGTGTGTCTGTGTCTGCTCTTATAATATGATTAATATGTTCATTTTATTGTTCTTCCTTTTTGCTACAGGGGCCATCAATTACACTACGTCAATAAACGTAAAATAAAACAGGACTCATGAAGTTCAACGAATCAAAAAATCCTTCCATCATCTCCATGGAACCTCTGGGCTTGTCTCCATCAGCCGTCTATCCAATGTTCCTTCTTGGACTGGCAACCTACTGCCTCATACTGGTCTTCAATCTCACCCTCATCCTCACCATCGCCCTAAACAGGCAGCTGCACAAGCCCATGTTCTTGCTGCTCATCAACCTGCCCATCTATGATGTCATGGGAGCCACTGCCTTCTACCCTCAGCTGATTGACAGCATCCTGACCCAGGATCGCACCATCTCCCAGCCAGCGTGTTTCCTCCAGGCAGTGATAGTGCACCTGTATGGAGGTGGTACCATACACATTCTGACTATTATGGCATATGACAGGTATGTCGCCATCTGCCTTCCTCTGAGGTACAATGCAATCATGTCCCTGAATCTTGTGGCAAAGCTTATCACTGTTGCATGGCTTTATAACTTTACTACTGTTGCAACTATTTTCATCCTGCTTGCACGATTCAGGTTCTGCCGGTCAGCCATCACAGACATGTACTGTAACAATCCCTCTTTGATGAAACTGGTCTGTGAGGATGTAAGCATTAATAACTACTATGGTTTATCCTTTGCTGTTTTAACTCAGAGTGTATCACTGTTTGCAGTGATGGTCACATATGTTCAGATTCTGCTTACCTGTCTTCTCAACAAACATGCTGATGCCAAGAGTAAGGCCATCAGGACTTGTGCCACACATTTAGTGGTCTTTGTCCTTTATGAGCTCACCACCTTGTTTACTATTGTGTCGCATAGATTCAATGAGGTGTCGGCTTTTCTGAGGAAATCTTTCGGAGTTTCATTTTTGGTTTTTCCTCCCATCCTTAACCCCCTTATATATGGCCTCAACACACGTGAAATTCGAATGAAAGTAATTAATTATATAAGAAAAAAAGCATCTATTTTACTCCCACAGAGACAAGTAAATGTTTCATAAGTACACGCTTTTGCAAATTAATTGAAACAAGTTGTCACGTCTATATGCAGACAGACTGTCCACAGTTAAGATGAGCGTCACTGTCACATTAATTCATACTTATCGCCTTTGGGTCTGGATTTAGGATCCGGTGGATTGATAAAAATTGTATGAGAATAACCCAGGATGGGGCGCCAATCCATCACAGGCCACACACACCATTCATGCCTGTGGGGAATTTGGTGATTCCAATTAATCTTAGCATGTTTTTGGACTGTGGGGGGAAACCAGAGAACCCGGAGGAAACGCCACGACAACATGGGGGGGCATTTGAAACATACATGGATGGCTGAAGCACAGTCATACCACCCAGCCCTAACCCCACCCAAGCAGGCCTGCCAGTATGTGAGTGCAGTGCCTCCTCTGTTCATCCACGCAACTCTAACCCCAGCTGAGCAGGCCTGCCAGTATGTGAGTGCAGTGCCTCCTCTGTTCAT